AGAAATCACCCCCCAGGGGGGATGGTCACGCCGCAATCCCTTCTCCTCCATTCTCCTCTCGGGATCTTGGGCACGCACGCACACGCGCCCAGCGTGAGATTTAAGCCACCGGGTCCGAGACGTGAACCGCGGTCGACTACGTGGGAGTCCAGCGACATAGCCATTACGCTAACTGCTGGTTCCCCCAGCATGAGTTTTAAGCCACCAGGTCCGGGGCGCGAACCGTGGTCAACTACGTAGGAGTCCAGCGACATAGCTATTATGCTAACTGCTGGTTCCCATATGGCAAAAATCTTTAAAAAAAAAAAAAAAAGAGAGAGAGAGAGAAAGAAAGAGAGAGCAAGAGATCTTTTTCCTAGTGAGGAAGAAGGAATGCAAGTGAAAGAAAGGGAAGGAAACAAGAATGAGATGATAGATAACATTTTTTTTAAAGAGAGAATTTTGCTATAGGGCACATGTGCTCACTGGAGAGACAGAAAGCAAGAAATCACCCCTCCAGGGTGGGTAGCCACGCCGCAATCTCTTCTCCATTTTCCTCTTGGGATTTTGGGCATGCAATCACACATGCCCGACATGAGTTTTAAGCTGCTGGGTCCAGGAGGCGAAAAGGGGTTGACTACATGGGAATCCAGTGATATAATCATTACGCCATGTGCTGGTCCCCAAATAACTTCTAAATATTCAAATTTTCTGCTTTGTGATAAACCTTGACTTATTACTTAGCTCCATCCAGCCTGCCCTCTCCCTGACTTCAATCAAACTCCCAGATAACAATGTATGTTTAAGCAACTAATATTCAATTTATCATCAGCCCAAGTCACACAAAATACCTACAAACTTTGGTAAGAGTCTGATGGCCCCATTTTATTGCCTTTCACCCAATGGTTTCAAAAGCCAAAAGTAAAACTTTGTTTTATATATATTCTTTTTTATATTGCTCATGTCAATATTCTTGTCCAGGGGCTGGCAAGTGGCATGGTGGTTAAAGGCGCTGGACTCCCACGTGGCCGACCACGGTTCAAGTCTCAGACCTGGTGGCTTGCTTTCTCACTTCCCCTCTCTCTCTGTCTCTCTCTGATCAAACTAGAAAATAATAATGATAATAATAACAAATAAAGTTAAATAAAATAATTCTTTGAAAATATATATATATATTCATGTCCACTGGTGTTCATTCAAATGGCTTTATGCAGCTCCCCAAACAATATCTCAATCAGGAAGAGTCGTTAATAGATGCCAAAAACATTGGGTTGTGGGAAACAGAACAGTTACATAATCCAAAGTATTGGTACTTCTAAGTATTATTAACACCTACTACTAAGAGAATAAGTATTGCGTAGTTGGGAAAGTTATGACGTATTTTTGCAAAGAAAAACACAGGAAAATACATCATGACTTTCCTGAAGACATCATACTTTTACAGCAGAAAATCTGGTGATCAGTAGAGAGGTCAAACTTAGCATGACCACTTACAAATAGATGTTATGAGCCTCCTAATGTGATATATTATGGAGAATACAACTTTACCCATGAAATGTTCTTATCAGAGATGTTAAATCTAAATTTAATCAGTCTCCCACACCATTTGTAGGAGATACAGGGGCTAGAAAAATAAGTTTAATGCCATGAAGAGGAAACAGAAAAATCCCAAGTGTGGGACAACTGGTGCCTACTTTTCAAAAGGTCAGTCATAAAAAACAAACAAAACAATGGGGCAAGCAGGTGGTATGGTGACTGGGATGCTAGACTTCTACATGGCCAACATGGCTCGAGTCCCGGACCTGGTGGCTTGCTTTCTTACTATCCCCCTCTCTCTCTCTGTGCCTCTCTCTGGTGAGCACATGTGCCCTACAGCAAATTAAAAGTAAAAATGATAATAATAAATTAAATTAAATAGTTAAAGAAAAACAAAACAATATGAGCAGGGCGTGGGATAGTTCTAATTGAGAGACTTTTTTATAAAAAGATATCACCATGGGTTGACAAATGGCATGGTGGTTAAGGGCGCTGGACTCTCACATGGTGGACCGCCGTTCGAGTTGTGATGACTTGCTTTCTCACTTTCTCTCTCTCTCTCTCTCTCTCTCTCTGTCCCTCTCTGGTCAAATTAAAATAAATAAATAAGTTTAAATAAAATAAAAAAAAAAAGGTATCACCAAATGAGAAAATTGACTAGGTAGGTACTGGATCAGAAATAAAAGGGTTAGAGTTAAATTTGAAAAGGGGTGGATATTAGATGACATGGAATTATAGTTAATTTTCTTAGGCATAATAATGATACTAAGATTATATAGAAGAATGTCCCTTTTTTTTTGAGAGAGAGATTTTTGCTAAAGGGCACGTGTACTTGCCAGAAAGAGAGAGAGAGAGAGAGTCAGACAGAAAGTGAGAAATCACACGCCAGGGTGGTGGCCACGCCACAATCCCTTCTCCATTCTCTTCTCAGGATCTTGGGCACACACGCACACACGCCCAGTTGAGTTTAAGCCACCAGGTCTGGGACCGAACTACAGTTGACTCCATGGGAGTCCAGTGACCTAGCCATTACACCAACTGCTGGTCCCCAAAATGTGTTTATTTGGACATACCACTAAAGTAAAAGGTCAAGTGTCACAATATTTACAATTTACTTTTTTTTTTTTGGCTATAGGGTGCACTTACTGGAGACAGAGAACGAACCCTCCCCTCACCCCCCCACCCAAGGTGGCAATGGTCACACCACAATCCCATTTCCATTTCTCCTCTTAGGATTTTGGGCAGGCATACACACACACACACACACACACACACACACACACACACACACTGT